ATTATTTTTTAATTTTATATATTTTTACATCATTTTTCATTTTTGCACAATGTATGCATTTTCATCTTAGTTATAGTCCCCATTTTTCAGGAAGCAGAAATGGATGAAATTTCTAATGGTGATCCTTTTATTTTATGCCAAAATTAAAAAACAGGGTCACTGAAAATGGTGCATCAGTTTGAGTTCAGATTAAGCATCTTAAGTAGTACAAACTATCGATCATCTTTCCATTTACTGTTGTGCTCCCCCTTCATACTATAACTCGACAAAATCATGTCAGAATCTTATTTGAAGGGCTAGAAAAGGGCTTTTTCAAAAAAATCTCAAAATGAATATCAGTTTTCCAAATATTAAAAGCATGGCATTGCAGAAGACTGTAAATTGCTGTGAGGTCTCATTCTCAGTGAATGCCTTCAGCAGTTACAAAATTGGGGGAATGGGGGGTGGGGAGGAACTTGAGGGAAGGGAGTGAAGAGAGAAGGGAGTGAAGGGGAGAGTGGGCAGGATTCCAGAGAGGAAGAATCATGTAGGAGCTGAGGACTCTAGAGAACAGGGGTGTGTGTGTGTGTGTGTGTGTGTGTGTGTGTGTGTGTGTAGGGGGTAAGGGGTGTGTGTGTGTGTGTGTGTGTGTAAGGGGGTAAGGAGGAGAACCCCAAAGAGGACAGAACATAGGTGCTGGGTGGTGGGGGAGGGAGGGCAAAGGAAGAACAGGGTTACGGGGAGGAAGGAGGAAAAAGAAAAAAGTAAAACACTTGAGAGAACTAGTCTAAGAAACAAAGGAGGGATGGCATTCAAATGCAAAAGACAGTTCAAAGGCAAACCCACTTTCAGAAGAATTCTCAAAATACTGGATAAGTAAAGCAAAAAACCCTGCAGACTTCTGAAACATGCTATTCAAACCTTAAATAAGCATGCAAGTAATAGTAATCATTAAAGATCAGAAACTATCTTCTTACCAGGCAAGATAGATCTGGCTAACAGAACTTAAAATTTATTTTTTTTAATAAGTCTTCCTTTTCTCAGGGCTACATGCCACATTTTAAAAAAAGGCAATCAAACATGCTTTTGAAAAATAAGCATAATTCTTACATTCGTACATTTTTATTTTTTATTGTGGCAAAATATGCTAACACAACTTTTACCATTTTAATCATTTTTAAGTGTATAATCCAGTGGCATTAAGTATGCTTACAGTGTTGTTCAACCATCACGACTATTTATTTACAAAACTTTTTCATCATCTCACAGAAACTCTACCCATTGAACAATAACTTCCCACTTACCTCTCTCCCCCCAGCCTCTGGTAACCTCTGTTCTTCTTTCTGTCTCTATAGATTTAGCCTGTTCTAGGTAAGTGGAATCATAAAATATAAGCATGGCTTACATGAATATTTGAGACAACCTAAAAGTCCAACAAAAGGGGAATGGGGATTTTAAAAAATGGTATAGTTGTGTGGTAGAACACTTTTATAGCAACAAAAATTAACTAGCTTTATCTACATTATCAATATAAACTACTCACAATGTTTACCAAATATAGTTTTATTCTAGTACAGTATACTATATATGTGAATGTTGAAAGAAAAAAATCATTTATGGTCTTCTACATCTGAGTGCACTTATAAACATAGATTGGAAAAATATGTACCAACTTCAGAAGAGCAATTACCTCTGAGAATGGGAAGGAAATGAGATTGGAAAGGGTACAAAGAGGTCGCTGTAATGTTTGCAACTTTAAAAAAAAAACATAAATAAAATATGCAAAATGTTAACAATTGTTAAATCACTTGGTGAATATCTGGATAGTGGGGTGTAATAGTCTGTCCTTTTCTGTTTGAAATCTTTAAGTTTATTTTTTATTTTATATGTATTTTATATCACTCTTCCTTTTTGTATAATGTATGCTTTCTTAAATCTTCAAGTTTAAAAAAGGAACTAGTTAATATTTTAGAAAGATAGAAAATAAGGCAACACATGTGCTTTGAAAAGGGAGATGGGTTAATATAGGCCAATTATAGCTTTTATTCAACCAGGAAACTTAATTGGCTCCTTTATAAAAAAATTTTAAATTACAAATGAATATACACTCATATAATCTTTGGAAAAGATATTCATAAAGAAAGCTAATCAACGTGAGTGTTATTATGGCACTTGAACCTGCTTCAGTCTGATATAATTCATATATTTTTTAAAGTAAATCATTTTGAAAATGTCTATTCTTATGAGTTAAAAAATACACTCAACTAATTCATATCATGGTTGATCACTACTGCTGTAGCACATTGAAACCTGGAAGAGCAAATACATACACCCAAGAAAACAAAACTCACAGCTAAGGTCCAGATCCCTCCTTTTACATGTCAAGGAAGGCAAAATTTATATAAATTACTTAAAATAACCAAGACTGAACAGTGTTATTGATAACATGGGATAACTGGAAATAAATCTTGTCATAGATTTTGTTAGTCTGAGTCAATTATGGCCATCTCACTGTAAGGAAATTAGGTTGCTATTAATCATGAAAAATATGAAGACTATCAAAAACATAGGAAAAATTTCTGAAGCAGAGGTAAATAAAAGGTACAAAAATTATACAAACAAAGATTATTATGTAAATATGGGTACATATGTATAAAATAGGAGAGGAACAGAAATATTAGTTATATTTTGGTAATAGACATTTTTATATTTCATTTTCTTTTTATCCCTGTTAAATAATTTAACCAGTGTTTAAAAATGATTAATCTATATATTACAAAGGAATTTGTTAAACTATATCCCTCTGTCATAGCTATAGCCCACAGAAACTTTTGGGTGTATTTTTTTTCCCTGTCAGATCTCTCCAGTTTCACTACTTTAAAATTACTAATCAAAAGTCAGAAATTCTGTGGCAAATGTTGTTGGGATACTTAAGCAAGAGAAGCACTCCTTCTGCTTTAACTTCTGCCTCTAGATCTGATAAGACTTTATCAGGAGAGTTCCATTCTCTGTGATCCACTCACTGACAACATGACCCTGGGCAAGTCACTGAACCTCTCTAACCTTTGTGTCCCTCAACTCCTAATTTTTTGAATTTATGAAATTCTCCAGAGAACTGAAATGCTTGAAGATTCAGTTCCAACCCTGGAACAAACCCCTAACTTCCTACCTCCTTAATCCTTAGGAAAATAGTGCCTAGCATTGAATTCTGCCTTGCCAGGGGCAGTCAAACCTGTAAGAAGAAATTATATCCCTAAAGATAAATAGCACTAGTTTCCCAAGAAAAAAATTATTATTTATTGAATACCAGTGCATCTAGCACTGCACCAAGCACTTTATATACTGTCTCTATATAGACTATATATAGTCTATATATATAGATCTTCTGGGGTCCCACCACAGACCCACAGAATTCCTGGAGACAGCAGGAAAATCTGCATCGTAACACATTTCCTAACTGATTGCTAAACACACAAGTTTGAAAACCAAAGGTCCGAGGTCAGTGTTTTTCAAACGATTAATGACAAATCCTTAGTGGGTTGTGTTCTACATTTCAAAAAATAAAGTGGGCCTCCCTCCTGGCACAGGGGTTAAACACAGCGCTATCAAGCTACTGCCAGCCACTACAGCATGAGTTCCACCCCCAGCTGGCCAGGGAGCAGCCCACGTGGTGTAGCAGCCCTCTCCAGCCTAGCCTGCCTCGCACCCCTCAGCAGTGTATTTCGGTATATCTGCCTGTTCTGCTCCCCACTCTCTCTGGTGAATCCTCTCATCCCCCCGCACCTTTGGCTTACATCCCAGTTCTTGTATGCATAAATAAATAAATCTTTAAAATAAAATAAAATAAAAAATAAAGTGGAAAGTATCAGAGGTAGGTATTGTTTCTGCAAAATTTATCGGTTATATATTGTGTATGGACTAGGTCACAATAAAAAATTATTTCTTACGAATGGTCTGAAAAGCACTAGTTAGGCATTAAAGACAGAATAATGCGCAAGGAGGGTAGAATTTAAATACAAAAGCAAGCAAGAAGGAAGAGAAAATATAACTTAAGCTCCACAAGTATTTAGAGAAATAAGAAAATTTAAAACTCTGATCATCTACAGTAATAAAGGGAATTAAAGTACAGGCAATTTGCCCCAAAAGCCAATAACTTTAGTCAATAACTTAAATATTCTATCTCCATTTTTTGTTTCTCGTAGCTAATAACAAGTAGAAAGGACAAATAACTCAAGCTTCAGTAATCCCTAAACCAGATGGGGTGGAAGCTAGAAAAACATGAGAGCAGAAAGGAGGAAGAAGTTTTAGTTAATTCATAATCGAATTCCAATCCCTAGATAACCAAAAGTAACCATCCATTAAAACCTTCCAGTCTCTCCTTGCTCGCGACGCTCAAATAATACATTCAGGGCCCCACCAAGCAACACAACCAATCAGTTCCTAATACTCCAAATATTTATTAAGTCATCCCTTGCTTTCTCCCTTTGTTAAACACCAGATCACGAAATTCACGGGAAACAGGTCACGACTGTACCCCTGGGTGACGTGAAGACACCCAGATTGCCACGCAGCAGCCGGCTGACTGCGCGCCTCCGTTTCTCCACTCCAAGGCGGGAAAAGCAGGGCGCTGGGTCCTGAGGTCCCCAGGAGATGAACGTCCCGCTCAGCGGTGGAAGAGGCGCTTCCCCTGGGGCTTCGGGCCCAGAAGGCTTCGCCTCAGCAGAGGGGCGGAGGTGGGGGGGGGGTCGCGATACACTCAGGCGCGAGCGCGCGCACACACACACACGCACACGCACACACATGCCAAACGCCACGGAACCCCAAGAGTCTATCACGGGGCGTGGAGGGGGGCGTGGGGAGCGCGAGTAGAGCGGCAGCAATACCTTCTGAAACCTCTCCTCACAATCCCGGCCCGCGAAGCCACCCGTCCAACCCCGCCGCTCCGAGTCCACAGAAAGAGCGGCCAGATCTGGAATTCACGTGCTGGAAAAGCGGAATGGACAGCCAAGCTGCAAACTTACCTTCGTGGCCGCTCGCTGTCCTGACCCCAGAGTCAATGGTAGGCCGCCGCGACGGCGCAGCCGCCTGAGGGGTTGGCCCGGGCCTACGCCGGCCGGAAAGAACCGGGCTCCTCAGTGGGCAGGTTCTCGCCTGAGACAAGCTAAGCGAGACGGAGGATTAAATGGGGTCGACTTGTAAACCGAAGAGGGCAGCCACTGACCCTGACTGGCACGCGCTTGGATTGGCTGATTCTCGTGTGGTTTCAAAGCAGGCTCTTCTGTGATTGGCCAGGAAGTCAAGCGGGAACTTGCAGGTGGTGGTAGGGGGCGGGGGGAAAGAAAGTTGTTGCCCAGGCAACAGGGACGCAGACCTCGCCACAATAACCAGCTAGCCGGGAACAGACCCAGGTGAGGAAATCCTTAACTTTAGCTGGGGAGAGATGGGGTTCTCAGGTACCGTGGCCTTCAGACAATCTAGGGAGAACTCTAGATCCTGGCGATTCTGAAAGATACCCCCCAAATCCCCAAATTGTTGAGCGAATTGATCCAAGTCCTAAATTCCCCTGCCCTAGAAGCTGACACATCCTTAACCAAAATAGGGCAATTGTATCACATAGAGGATGGATACTGATCAACGGTCAAAATGAACATGTGGAAGCTTCCCAGTGCCTTTCGACTCATACACACTTATAGGTGTAACGCTAATTTAAGAGTGAAAACTGTTTTTTTATTGGTAGATCTATCTGAGTGCTCCACGTTGGGACAGTCACAATAGCCTCTAGTTGCCACATACAGGCATGATTTACCCTGGACCAGTATGGCTTGGTTGGGATATATTTTTTAGGGGGTATACGTCTTCAGACTTGGGGGGGGGGAATTGGCTTGTGTCACTGGTACGTGAACAATGTCCTGTGTGTGGGAATGTGAACGCTGTGGCCTAAAGGTTCCAACGGACAACGTTGGTCAGATCCGTTGAGGGCTAAGAAGCAGTCAGACCAGACCGCTTTCAGTGGGCAGGAGCGTGGTGTTCAGAGACTATTTGTACTACTTGTACCTACCAATATTACTACTTGCCAAAAGCTGGTTGGAAGACTGTTCTAAGTGGTTGGACTGTCCCTGAGAAAAGGTAAGAAACTGTGTCCAAAAAGCGAAATCTGAGTGAGGGTAGAATGCCAAGTTTGATCAGAGAGGTAGGGGTCATTTTTCCTAAGAGATTACTTTTGTGAGGACAATTCAGAACAGAGACTTTCCTAAGGAAATGAGGAAAGCAGGTCTATTAACTTGGGGGGAAAATTCCCAAGAACTGAAAGAAAACTTGCTGCCTCAACTCCTTCTTAGATTGAGGTGGTGTATAAGAATGAGACAAAGTATTGACAAGTGTATTTATTAAATTTGGCTAAAATAAAGAATAATAGAGGAAACATTAAATCAAAAGAAATTCATTTCCTGAATCCCTTTGAGTTTATGAACAATTCCAGGTACTTTCAAAAACTACCTTCCATTAAATACATTTTAAGTTTGTAAGCTCTGTAAAGTCCCCATAGTTACTTAAGACCTTGTACATTTAAAGACAGTGGGAAAAGACCTAGAAAAAGGAATCATTTTTGCTGTTGTAAAGACAAGGTCAAAATGAATTTTTTTAATAGACCGGGTATCATTGAGGAAAATAATTGTCAAGAAATGTAAAAAAAAAAGGCCAGTATATTATAATCTGGACATAGGCAGTGATGTTTACTTTTGGTTTTGTGAAGAATTTCAACACAGAAATTACTAAATAATTTATATAATACTAAATAATTTATATAATACTAATAAACTACTATGCAAATGAAGTTGCAGGAGAGATGCCAAATTTACTTAAGAAAATAAATGGATTTTGAATACTTTGAAATGATTCAGCTATAAATAGTATTTTACATAGGAAATGTATTTATCTAGTAACTTAAATAGGTTCCTCAAATAAACTAATTCGGTGCTTCCTTTATTGTCCTGATTTTATTTAGTATGTATACATGGATTAATAAAATATAATTTATTTTTGAATTGTCTGGAATTCAGAGTTTTCACTAATTTAACCTAGACTTGTCCTCAATTAAAGTCAAAGAGCCATCCCTATTGACACAGTGGATGCAGGCATATAAATAGAAAGCATGAATTCATCATCCCTCATATCTAGAATCTGACATAATCACAGGTTACTTCAGTGCGCTGTGTCTGGAGCCATCATGGTTGAGCTTGGTGAATTGGCAACTGGCTTGAATGTTTTGGTAATGGACTGGTTCTGACATGTCTTTCTCTCCAGTTCATTGTGGCTAGCACAAAGAGAGATTCCCCCAATCACACCTCTGTCTCTAAAAACCCTAAGGTCAGTGAGGGAAAACCAAACCTGCTATCTAGAAAATGTTGCCACTGGAACTGGCCTAGCAAAAGTAGAAAAAACAAAAACAAAAGGCCTACAAAATTTGTTTTCTACATAGCCAAATCTCAAATAAAAGATTTAGTAATACATTTTGTTTTCAGTAAAATTCCTGCTTAAATTTCCCTCTGTATATATTTATTTTGGATCTATTTAAGTGGCAATGCCTGATTTAAAAATAAGCAGTGTGGCTCCAGAATTCTTTTTTTTTTTTTAATATCTATACTATACTACTTGAGTAACCTGGGCAAAAAGGATTCATTCCAAGGTATAAAGATGGGGGACTAAAGGGTTTCTAATAATCAGTTCAGTTTTTAACAAAACAGAATACTTGAGAGAATAATAGAAGGGAAGAACAGTAAATTAGACATGGGGTTATATCTTGAAAGAACTTGATGGCCCAATTCAAGATGAAATTTTTGTATATCAAATTTATAAATGAAAGTCCTACAAATAACGCTGCATAGTTCACAATAAGGCACCTTGCTTTAGTATTTTATAATGTAATATGTTTGTGTCAAATGAACTTTAATATGATTTTAATAAAGATTAATGAATTTTTCCTAATTTGTTGGACTGCTAAAGGAGCTAGTAGAATCTTTATTTCCATTGAATTTAGAATTTTTTTCCCAAAAATTCACATTACTCTTTGATACTTTCAACTATTTAATGATTATAAAATATTTGTGATTCCTTTGTTTCCCAAAATGCAATACCAAAAGAATTGCCATGATTTTTAAATTTTGTGTTTACAGATTACTATCACAGTTGATATGGTAAAAATTATTCTTGCTGAAGTGCCAATTTTTTCATATGTCTACTTCAATTTAGCTAAGTGTGAACCTATGCCTTATTATGCCAGCATAATTTGGAATTTGAGAAGTCCAGTTCCTAATATGCATTAAATATAGTGTCACTGTAAGTTATTGCGAATGATTTGTTTACCAAATATACTCAAATATAAACATTCCAAGGAGTGGCATCCCCTTCAAAGTAGTCACTTTGGGAGGCTATCTAATGCTGTTAGTATTGCTCAAATTACTTTGGAAACTATTTTAGAATTGCCTTGAGGCCTATATAGCACATTCTTTTGAATATCTTTAAAGCAAATCTTCACATTTTGAAAGCAGATGTGATATCTAGATATATCTACAAATCACTTGGAGACAAATCTGAGGTGTAATCAAGTGGAGTGATACCATAATGATACCTATTTTCTTGGTGATACATATGAAGGCAATTCTAAAATATTTTGAGCATTCATAGTATAATTTATGACAGTATATAACCTTCTGAGGTGATGACTGTGAAATGCAACATTCATATGAATTTAATCATGCCTCATTCAGTATTCATCAACTGCTATGTGCCAGCTCTAGTTATTGAAGACATTCAGCCTACCAGGATAGCGTCCCACTGCCCACACTGCCCACACTGCCCTGCCTCTCACCAAATGAGAATCAGGGTAAAACTCCTTCCTACCTGGTGAGGATTTAGAGTTAATCTGCTCTCCCCAAATACAGAATCCAGTGCACCCACTGACCCACAACCTTTCTTCATAACTTCCACTGTGGCTACCCAGATGACATGAAAAAGCCTTTGATGTAGTGCCTGGTTCACTCTTCCAGCTGTTACCTATTCTGAACCTTCATCTAACTGCCAACTCTCTTACAATCCTCAAGAAGTGGACTGTGCTTCCCAAACCCCTACTGATGGATTAGAATCCTAAAATGGCTTCCCTGAAAACAAGAGTATTCAACCTGAATCATTTGCTCATGTGCTGAAACTCCCACTGCCATATCTCTGCCAAGTAGATGTGACTGCATGAATAGCAATTCTGATTGCTACCTTAGCCACTGCATTTGGGACATCCAAATAGCCTTCTTTTAGGTTAAATTTAATGGCTCTAGTTTATTTCCCTCTCATCAACCTACCATACATAAGCCTTATAATCAAGTGCCTGTGGGTACTGGCACTATGTGCCAGATAATAATGATATTTTTCTATATAACCTTTCATATTTTAGCAAACTCTTTTACCTTCATTGCATATGTCCATCACAACAATTCTGTAAGGTAGATAATGCTGGAATAATAAAACAATTTCTGCTATATATTTTTATATATATTTAAGTCTAATTATTTATATGCTCTCAACTCAAAATGATGATTATATCATTGCATCTGATATCTGTATTCACTTTCCCTTTTCATAGCCAAAGGTAAAAAATATTTCAAAAAACTTGTTTTTAATGTTAAGTAAATATTTAATGAACATGTAATCAACTAGGACTTTTAAAATATAAACAGGAGCCTCTTTGTTTAATTTAATCTGTCAATTATTCATTTCCATAGCAGACTACTAGACCATACTGTGAAAGAAGATTGTTTTATCACCTCTTATTTCACCTTTTTCAATTTAATGAGTTTCCAGTGTAATGAGTTTTATCATTAACTTATTCCACATCATTATTAGAAGTGATATTCATGCCCAGCAAAATTAAACTTTTAAAGAGCCAATAATAAATAATATATGTTGACTACTTACTATGTGCCAGAGTTCCAAGTTCTTTTATATGTATGAAGCTACTGAATCATTGTAATAACCCTATGAGATAGCTCTTTCATTGTCCCCATTTTACAGATAAGGAAAATGAGGTGCAGGGATCCCCTGCTTTTTATTTTATTTTTTTAAATTATTTATTTATTTATACAAGCACTGGGTACAGTCAGAAGCGCGGGAGGGTGAGAGAATTCACCAGAGCCAGAGCAGGTAGCAGAACAGGCAGAAGGACCGAGGTACACTGCTGAGGGGAGCAGTGGGTGGCAGGGGAGGTCTGCGCGCCATGTGGGACCCTCGCCTGGTGGCCGGGGATCGAGGCAGTGCTGCAGAGGCTGCAGGCAGGTTCGCACCTGAGCGCTCAACCACTGCGCCACCGGGGAGGCCCTCCCCTGCTTTTTAAAACTTCAACTTGTGCCAATTGATTTTGCAAAAGACCTACATTAGTACCTGTCTTTGCTAACCAAAATAAATGAGAAGAGGATTTCCACCAAAAGGTGAAAAGCAAACATATTGTCCAGTGTTGGTTTCACAGCAGTTATTCTAGAGGCAGGGCCAACCTCCTTCCCTTGGAACTACACTATACAGGTTGTACAATTATCTTTTACATTTACTTTACAATAGTGTGATTTTAGCTTTTATGTGTTATTTGGTAGGTTATTTTTTGATCTAAGGTTATACGTTTATATTTTCCATATAATTTAATAGTGATTGCTTCTTCACTTTACACCATTTTGATTTACAAAAGGTTTCATAGGAATGCTCTACTTTGGATATTGGGGGAAATCTATATAGAGAGTTTAAATGATTTGCCCAAAATCACAGGGCTAGAAAGTAAATGATAGCTACAAATGGAGGCAGTATAACTTGAGAAGTCTTACTTTTAACCACTGTGACATACTGCCTCTATGTTAGATGTACAGGGCAATTTAACATTTGTTCCATACCCTTGACATCTCCGATAGGCATTAAGATCAGTTTTCTATTTAAATAAGAAAGTCAAAGCAATAGTAAAACATAATAATAAAACAGAAGATTTGTAAAATACCATCTGCATGCAGATTGATTTTGACAGGTGACAGTTCCAGCTCACATGTGAGAATCTCTCTATAGTGCTGTCCTAGGCACAATGCAAAAATTTTAGAGGATCACTTTATAAAAGCATTACAGAAATGTTTCTTGCAAATTAATTTAATAAAATAATGTTTCAAAAATACCAGAAACATAAAAAATATTACATATATATTATACTTTTTCATTGAGGTAATGTTGGTTTACAGCACTGCTTTTGTTTTAGCGGTTATAGGTTCCTACCTCAACAAGTGTATGTTTTCGCACCATGCCTACCACCAAAATTCCAATGATCCTCCACCACGCTCCATTGGGTCCCTCTGCTTCCACCCTCACCCCCTTCCCTTCAGCCACAATTTTGCAGTAGGCGAAATAAGTCTGAAGGAGAAAATATTATTTATGCCCAAATCACTAATAATAGGCCTAATTTTACAGCCTTTTTAAAAAGTTATTCATTAAAGTGTGATACTGCTAAGATTTTTAAAGATCCTGAATTCCTGCTCCAAATATTACTGTCAAAATTATTTAAAAGACTGATGTCTGGATAGTAGGACTTCAAGTAGTTGTGATTTTATTATTTATATGTTTAATATATTACTTCCTAATGTTTCCACAATAGGTGTATCTATTATCATTATATAACCAGAAAAAAACCAATTCCTTTATTTTGTATGAACTTTCATTAAAGTCAGTGAACCAGCCCATTAGAGTTCTCAAGTGACAATATAATGCATAACATCATCAGGGTTAATTAAGAACTAAAATAAAGCAGACGGTATTGGGCAAGCCTAAGGTAAAAGTGTGCAATGAGTGAAGTTCCTTGAGACATACCCTCCAATAAGTATCCTTTGCATTTCAAAAAATGTAATATATAACCTAGACAGCATACATGAGAGAGGTTAGAAAAAAGGTCTTCTGCAAAAGTATGTTTCCAAACAATGATGTACATTCGAATGATACTGACAATCACTTTTTGTAGAGGTAGAACTTAAAAATCTGCTATTTAAACTAACCTCCCAAGTGATTCTTAAGCACACTAAAACTTGAAAACTACTGTAGTAGGTGTAAAATAAATGCTTGTTAGATTGAGGATGAAATTTTAATAAAGCAAGTTGAGTGTTTGAGTTGACTTGCTGCCCCCAGATCTCTGAGTTAGCAAAATACATACATCTGAAGGTATTTACAATGATTCTCAAGGAAGAGTAAGAGATATAGTTACCCTTCCAAGAGTTTGAGTTACACCATTTAGCTTTTATGAAACACGTTGGTACCTGTTTTCACTAACCAAAAGAAATCAAGAGGATTTTCTCTTTTATCACAAAAAGTGGAAAACAAACATAGTTCGCTGAATTGGTTTGCTACAAGCATTATGCAGGCAGCCCACACCCCCAAGCAGTGAGAGAGGCACGGCCAAACTCCTCCTTGGAGTTTGGTATAACTACTTTACACAGGTTGTACGTTTATAATAACTTCTACTTTTACTATGTGTTAGTACAACTTTAGGTTTTATGTGCTGTTTGGTATGATCTTTGACAATGCTCAACAAAAAAAATTCCATGTAAATTAATGGGAATTGCTTCTTCACTTTACACCATTTTGACCTATAAAAGATTTCATAGGAATACTCTATTTTCAGGTGGCAGTGGGAATTTGTAACAGAGTGATCTAAGAAAAGAAGGGAGACGACAGAAAAAAATGCATGTCTTAGAATGGAAAAACTAAAATATGTCTTTCTGATCTTCTTTCTCAGAATATGGATTCTGAAAGCATGGATTCTGAAAATACAGAAACTGAAAATATGGAAACTGAAAATACTGAACCTGAAAACATGGAAGTTGAAACTGTTTCTTCAGTTTCTGCTCTACAAGCCCTTTCTAAGCTGCTTTATCCTGAAGAGGAGGATTTTGAGTTCGGACAGGTGGTCATATCTTTACAAATGAACTGTTCTGTTCACACGAAGTTGTGAAACTGTACTTGAACAACTTGTTCCAACCTTGCTGTGGGAGCAGGGTTGTGTCATCTGATACATTCACAGGAGGTTGCAGGGCTGATTATGCATGAGAGCATAACCTCTAGTACATTTCTAGCAAACATAATTATATTTTTTTCTAAACTACCTGAGCAGTGAATAGGAAAATAGTTCCGTAACTATGGTAGCAATAGCCGCATTTCAAAATGTTTGTCATTTATATTTATGACTAGAGAATGCTTGACAACCATTGCAAAGAGCTGTAGCTAGGATTTTAAGCATAGACAATATTTCTATAAAACAAATTACTCCAATTAGACAGTATTAATTAGACCCCCCAAATTCAGTTCCCTTAATTGTTTTTATTTGTCTACACATGAAAGCAGAACAGAAAATATTTTGAACCAAATAATGGGACAAATTAGCTTCAACCTACTAAAATTGCTTCTGGGTACATGCTCAGATAGAGCATGGTGGAATCTAATTAGTTGAATAGCATTTGGGGTCAGGACCAGTAATCCAGGGAGGCTCGCAAACAACAAGATGGCCTTTGTTTTGGATGGGAGAGTTCCCTGAAGTGACCTTCATCTATTCCATGGTCACTGCCAGTATTCCCAGAATAATCAAAATCCTTTCATGTAATCCCCTGCTCTCCAGTCTCTTATACCTTAGATGTAAGTGAATCTTGGCTATCAGACTACCTATGTAGAGGCAAACTAAATTTGGGAAAGAGATATTATCATGATCTAGTAAAATATATAGCTTTGATTTAAATTATTTTTTGTTATTATTATAACCAGTTTACCATGAACATACATATCAGTTGATCCTCCCATTTTGACAAGTATAACTTGAGTCAGCAGCAAATTCAGATGGACATTGGGTTTCTATCCCACCCTCACTCTTACCTCCTGGAAGAGTTTGATGGAACAGGACAGAATCAAAATTTAAAATGGAAATAAAATCGGTAGAGAGGGAAAACTGAGTGAGCTTTGAGCCAGGACCAAAACTTAAAAATTTTAATGTGGTAAAATTATTAGTAGAGGCCAAGCCAATAAAGAAAAAAATCAGTACATTAATAGGAGCTTTAAATACTTCCATCAAACACGTTACCGGAAAAAATTCAGAAGCATTGTGTCAGTGAATTCGGGAAGTCAAGTTCATTTTTGCTACCTTTAACTGAAATAAAATGATAATTTTCAGGTGGCTACATCCTGGGAAACGTAGTGTATTTGAGAACTAGTGATCTTGAAAAAGAGAAGCGGAAGTTGTAACTGGAGCAGAGTCAAAGATTAGGATTTACCTGGTTACAAACCCTTTTCCTTTTGATGTTTGTCAATGGAGATATTTATTTGCATCTAATGGTGTTTCTAGGGTAAAAATGAGTGCTTCTGAGAACAGAGAGCCTGGGATCATTTTACCAAATTGTACAATTTATAGAGGAAAATTACTGTAATAATGTATAATTCTGTATATCTGGGTTATAAGCAATTTTGAGATAATTGGTCATTCAGACACCACAGTACAGATATCGTTAGAGGATGTAGAATTGGAGTATCAAAACAGTGGGAGAATAATTAATGTTACTAATGAACTATTAAATTTTCCAGGAGAGAAACAGCTTCCCATTTTTTAACGTGTATTAATCTTAGGAACTGTGGAATGATTACAGAGTAATGTGTTTTTAAACATATACTTTTTAAAAACAATATTTAAAACTGGTGCATACACATTGGTTCATTTATCCTGTCCCCACTGTGAATTGTTAAGAATCTGGAAGATTGGAAAGAGAGTATGTCTGTGTTTTTTAAATTCATAAGGGGATCTTAAAACCTGTGGGAAATAAGGTTTACCACTCATCACAGACATTGCAACAGGATGTTCTAACTCTTTTACATATTGCAAAGTGGCATGAATTGCAATGATAAATTGCTTAGGTAATTGAATGCGGATTCATGGTACAGCTCAAATGATATTGGTATAGAAAACAATTGCCAGATGGTTTTTAGTGTTTTTATTGTTCCGATCCATCTTTTCACTTGAAATTTTTATTTTCAATCATTTATTTTCATTAAGTTAATAAACTGAAACTTCCTTCTGTTCTAATACACTGATCCAATAGTTACTGTGCATGGAGAGTATATTTTGGTCAGGAATTTTCAAGGTTTTATTTCTACAGGTTTTAATTTTCCATAGAAAGAGGTATCTGACAAAACAATAGGCCAACGGGTTCCAAGAATTGCTTTCCCCTGCTTGACTATTAGTAGTCTGCTGATTAATAATTTAAGAAAAGCACACAAGTTTATAATGACCTTAGTGATTAAAAAATGCTGTAACACCTTCACCCCGGACACAGCAGTTTTGAAGAACCTTTGGAAAAAGAATAGTCATTGTCTCAGAAAAAGTTTAGATGTTACAGGTTAACTTCTGATTTATAGTTGTAGGAATAGTTTAGCATCACATAGATACAGGTGGGCTTTTCCACTAGCTTTCAAAGATAGACACTATTTCTCTTACCCAAACACGACACCCTAACTTTTGTATAAGTCTGAGTCCTGGAAGGTCAAGGGCAGGGTTCTGAGAAAGGAGAGCTAGAAGTGCTAGTTTGCCAAAATCCAAGGAGATAAGAATTTTTTTTTATTTCCAACAGTAGAGTGAATTGGAGCTGTAGAGTCTGACATGAACAAGAACAATTAGTAAAAATTGGGATTTTCTTGAAATATTAAAGAACCCCTTAGAGGGCTCGCCACTATACTAATGGTGTCATATGTGTTATACTAGTTGAAAAAAGGAAGACTATTCTTATACAGGTGAGACAGGGGCAGTCCTGTCTTGATATTATGTCTGTGCAGAAGATGGTAAAATGAACTTGTATATGCATGAATGCGAAAGTGTATCAGCATGTTTTTGACACCATTAATTTGGGATTATTGATTAAATCCATTAGTTCAGTGTCATGAGGTGGTAGGATGGAGACAATTTTCATACAATGGAAAGAAGTAAAAGCTGTTATCAGGACTTCTGAATGAGTCATTTGATGTCTAAATACATAGACACTAGTGGTTTCTTTTAAAAAAATAAAGATTTATTTATGCATACAAGAACTGGGGTATAGGCCAAAGGTATCGGGGGTGAGAGGATTCACCAGAGACAGAGTAGGGAATAGAACAGGCAGACTGAAATACACTGCCGAGGGGGGCAGCAGGTGAGACAGGAGAGGTCTGTTGGGCCATGTGGGTAGCTCCCTGGCGGCCTGAGCTCAAACTTGTGCTGCAGAGGCTGCGTATAGCTTCACAGTGCTGTGCTTAACCCCTTGCACCACCAGGGAGGCCCGGTTTCTTTTTATTTCTATAAAACTTTCCCGTATTTCTATCTCCCATCTAACTATCACTAGACACTGCCAAAATGCAAAGATGTCAATGATCTTATACTAACACTTGGTTTTAGCCTTCAAGGAGATGAATGTGGTTCCTTCCCCTATCCCCAATGATACATGACTCACTGGGCTGGAATTGGGGATTTACTCTGATCAAAGATCAATTCTGCTAGTTATGATCATTCTGCTAGTCATGGTTCCAATAAACTAGAATAAATAATTTTGGATGTTCTCCTAGCATTTTGGCCTATACATTTCACAGAGTTGGACATTTTACAAATCTTTAAAAATATAAAAATGTAAAAGGCCCTAATTCTGCTAGTTATGATCAACTTAAACCAAATGCTTTGTAGAAGTACAAGGAAGACACATTCAAAATAATATTTAATATAATGTTATATAACAATGATGGATAATTAAACTGGAAAGTCCTATGAGCTTTTTAGATGGGAAACTTATCAAATTGAAAATATCACTGGTGATATAAGTCATACAAATACTAATCACAGAATGTTGAACTTTTTTTCTTCTTCTCCAGCCAAACTGTTCATCTGCCATCGGAGCAATGGGTCCTGGCAATATTGGGCCGCCAAAAACAGAAATGCTCAAAGGTAAGTTATTTAATAAAACATATAGATCTATACAATCAATATGTTTTCTTTGGAAACAAACCATAGGTAGAGTATAACTAAGACTAGCACTTATTAAAGCTCATCTTAATTGTGGAAATGATGGGCAATCATTTACATATAAAGATGCTGTTTTTACTCTACTGTTGCAGGTAAGTTGTTTCTCTAGTAATGGAAATGAATTTGCCTTGAATTGTTCACAGTTGGGAGTATATTTCCTGAGATAGAAGACCAAGAAAGTTATGTGTGGTTAGATAAGTTTTTATTATTGAGGGTCTAGTTACCAAGATGCTTAGCTTTTTCACCTTCTACCCTGCTATATTCTGGCAATTTCATAGAATTCATTCAATAAATATTTAATGAGAGTCTATTATGCACCAGGCAATATAATCAGCTCTGAGGCTATGACAGAGATCAAAAGAAAAAGGACCCTTGCCCCCATTGAACTAATAGTCTTTGGGATAATACAATAAAACAAGTAATTACATAAGTAATCTTACATTGAAATGCTTATGGGGTGACTTATAAAGTCATGGTTCCAATAAACTAGAATAAATAATTTTGGATGTTCTTCTAGCATTTTGGCCTATACATTTCACAGAGTTGGACATCTTATAAATCTTTAAAAATATAAAAATATAAAAGGCCCTAATTCTGCTAGTTATGATCAACTTACCAGAGGATGGGCAGGGAAAGGAAATGAAATAAGTTCCTTCATCAATTTAGCTCACTGTAAAAGATTTTATCTGGAAAAATGTATAAAATAATGACTAAAATGAGATCCAAGGGGGTGATTTTATAATTTCAGTTATTATTGCTCTATATACACAAGAGTCTATTTGCCTTATTCAAAAGATATTCCCTCCATGGAAGACTAGTTCAAATTTGGATATATTTCTATGCTGCCTGTATTTCTGATAATGTAGGCCTAATAATCTCTTAATTCTGAGAACAGTAAGTGATATGTCATATTCTATATACAAATCTATAATTAATATTTCCAAGCCCATGCTAGATAGAAGCAGATAATTTCAAAAGAATTGGTAGAATTGAAAATCTGGCAATCAAGTGCATTTCTGGGGATGCTGAAATGGACTAAAAAAAATGTGGGTCTCTATCTACTTCTCCAATAGCTGGAACAAATATAAACTGGGTTTTTCAATACCTGGCTACTTTTAAGGATGACGTGTAGAATGGTCCTATATAAAGGACAAGTGATAGAGATTTTCTTTAAAGCTCATGTAATTAGTAGTATTCTTTAAAAATTATATCATGATTGCATGAAAAAATTATCAAAGTACTTTTATATAATAAAACACAATGTGAGATAAGATACTTCTATCTAGGTCAGATTCATTGCTTGATTTGCTCTTTTATATAAATATATTTTACCTATGACCTTATATGTTTCTGGAAAATATATAATAGTTCTTCACATATATATGTTGTATAGTACAATTTTCTGTATAATATATAATTTGACATTAAATATTTATACATTATGTCATCATATATGTGTGTGTATATATATGTATATAAAGAAAAGATGTACATCGGAATGCTAACATTATGTCCAAGCAGTTGGATTATAGATTATTTATTTTCTTCTTTTTGCTTCTCTTTTCCTTATTTTCTGCAATTATTACTACAATTATACACTATCTTGGTTGTATAGCAATTTAAAAAAATTGAATCAGTTGTTACTAATTTAGCTTTTTTAGACCAAAACAATAGTGATTACAAATAGAAATATTTTACTTCAGTGATACCCAAACTGAGGAGGATAAAAGAGCAGGAGCAATTTTGAGGGAGAAAACAGGCACCAGCTTCAGCTTTATCTTCCTTTTCTTCACAGTCATCCCTCAAACAAGTGATGGAAATAGAGAGAACATCTGGAATGCCAATGAGGTTCCAGAAGGGGCAGAGCATGGTGACATGTGGGATGCTAGAGAAATACCAGAGTAAGTCAAATGAAGCCAGGAATGTGTTTAGGGATTTAAGTTAGATGTCTCATCTGATACCATTCTCTTTTTGACAAGATTCATAAAGTAACTTCTATCATACAAAAGATAAAAATACAGTGACACACAGAAGGCATGGGTAATTGATGATTTTTTTCCTTCTAGAGCTAAAAGAAATAATAAAACAAAACAGCTTCCCTTCAGTTATGATCTTACAAAAAGTGAAAAATACAGTCATTTCCATTATAAATTTATATTTAATGTCAGTTGTATAACGTGGAACTAACAATGGATAAAAAACCAGCCCATTCAACTATAAGCATTCATAAAAACTAAATTATTATATCATGTTTATGTGTCAAAGACCTGCCTTTAATAACTTAATATTCTACAGTCTTGGTAAAAGACTTTCTCCCTCCAATTATCAGCTATTACTTGGGAATTAATTTATTATTTCTTTTAGGATTATGTTTAGTACATTTTGCAAGCAGGGATGAAGCTTCACTTTGTAGCCTTTTTAACAGGAACTGTAAATACGAAATTTAGAATTAGCATCATAAAAAGCCTTTCTGATAATATAAATCATTTGTACTTTTAAGGTATTACAGTATGTTTGCATATATAATTGAAATTAATGGTTAAATACACTGAACTTTGAATAATTTGTATTTCGAAATAAAATCTTGATTGAATAGCTTGAAAAACAAAGGCCATATTTACTAAATTATATTTTATAAATACTTAAAACCTTCTATGGCAAGTCATCTGACAACTTTTCTAATTCTGACTATAAAACTGTGTCCAAGGTTTTTTATTATTTAAAAAAACTCTATGTTTCTATCTCCTGCGTCAGTTCTGAAAATAGAAGCAGTGGGAGACTGCAGATAATTAACTGAAAAAAGTATCCAGCTTTCAAATAAACAATGTCAAAAACCCATAAACCTCAAAAAAAATCAAAGGGAATTTGAAAAACATTTTTTGTCTACAGCTTAAGAATGAAGAGAGTAAATCTCAGGTTATGTGTATATAGTGGCCACACATCCATATAAAAGGTCACAATTCAGTGAGTCATTTGTCATCTTGCCTAATGAATGTCAAATATCCACACGTGGCAAGCTCCAAATCTGAGTAAAATTTCACTTTTCATCCTGATGTTTTTGATGTTCTGTACAAAGAACTCCCTGAAAGCTTTAAATGAATAATAACTCTAGTCAGGATATGAAGAAAATTGCTTGATAAGATTTTCTAAATCTTTATTTTCTATCTTAGACCAATGCATTTCAAAATGTTCCAATGGGTAAAGAGGAAAATGGGTAAAGATTGTGAACCAGCAGCCACAAAAGCAGAATCACAAGTGGCCAAATAAAAAATAATAAGGGCCTAAGCGAAGTCATTGACCTTGAGGAAAAGTATGAGGGTCTTTTTTTTTTTCTTTTTTTGTGGGACCCTCGCCGGCGGCCAGGGAATGAACGGGCATTGCAGAGGCTGCGAGCAGCCTTGCAGCCCAGCGCTCAACCGCTGCGCCACCAGGGGAGGCCCAAAAGTATGAGGGAATTTATTTGAGAGACTTTTGAAGGAAGTTTTGCTATTTGAGTAGATATAATGAATGAGAGGTAAATGTCAAAGATGATAAGGAGTTTACTAGCTTGGGTGACCGGGTGATGTGGCAGATAGATGAAAGAGAAACAGTGAATTTGGTTAGGGATATGTGGACAGTGCCTTTGGCACATCCCAGGCAAACATATATACCTGGCAGTTGGAATATTGCATCTGGAGATGAGGATAACAGTGAAACTAGAGCAAATCTATTTGGGAGTCACAGGCATATGGATGGGCAAAACCTTTCTATCTTATTTTAAACTGGTTTTACCTTTTAAATACCTGGTAGATGTTATAGTCTATTAAGAAAAAAATACCCCATATCAACTAGCTACTTATCATTAGTCCTGTTCAAATGCCCGTTTTTTTCCTTGGGCATTCCTATTTGTAAATGGTCAGAAGTTCAATCTAGTCCTTTAGTCTTCTTATCCAAAGATTTACCATTTCTTCACTAAGGTTGAATTAAATGGAGAATATCATTTGTACACTTGTTTATTTCATTCCATCTAAAAAAATAGGGTATGTTATAACTGGGTACGTCTATAAATGATTCTATTCCTAGGGCCCCAGATTTCGAGGCACGGAAAGATTTGTGAATTGCTCTGTGTGAAGTGAAGTACTAGAAAAATTTTTCAATGAGCTAAAAATTCTATAGGATTAGATTCTAACTACATTACCAGTGTTTCTATTGTAAATCCTAGAAGTAAAAAAAAAAAAAAAAAAAAAAAAAAAAACATAGCCATCATTTAGTTCAAATTCATCCCTTCTCATAAATTGTACAAATGTAGAAGCCAAGACTCCATGAGTGTAATTTGACCAAGGTCACACAGTGAAATGAGAGAAACAGTACTAAACCTGTATTTTCTAACTCTGTGGCTTAAACTTGACAGAGGAGGATTTCTAGCCATCAAACCCTTGGTCATTAGCCCAGTGTTTTTCTGAGCCACTGTTTTCAGGAGAGGAGCTTCCTTTTCACTTTCAACTTTGCATCTTATTAGAAGTTCCCACCATCTATTTTATTTGTACAGCTCTAAAATAGTATTATTTTAGAAAAGGAGCATATATAATATAAATCCTGCTTTACAAAGTGAGATGTTTTTGATCGAATTTCTAGACTACTATTCATGTTCTGCTATGTGCCTGAAAAACTACAAGCACTTTATTTATTCCTTTCACTTTTTGTAATATCGGTAGCATGTCTTCATGAGTGCCTAGTCTTTTTGCTCTGTGGTAGGCAATTGTTCTTTAATTTGAATCTATCAATGACTTTTTTTTTCCAGATACGAGATTGTATTCAAACAGCATGTGGGAACTGAAGATATATTCCTAGGATTATCAAGGAAAGACACATCAACAGCATGTTGTGAAGATCTAGTGGTAAGTTTCTCCCCCTCCTCCATTTCTGTATGAGCATTATAATTAAATTGATTATTGTATACATAATACCATAGGCAAGGCTGTAACTCTTTTAAAATAATGGTTGCTATGTTTCAGGTGCTAGGGAAATAATAGGATAGATAATTTAAAATCAGAAAATATATACGAAAGTTTACATGTGTTCATAAGATTTACTGATAAAGGCACTTTTGCAGTGAGTTGGTGGGGTAACATACATCTGAAAGGTGTGATCTTAAACCTCTGACTCATGTGTTATTATGAACCAATGTTATCGCAATAAAAAATAAAAATCTTTTAAAAATAGATTTACTAATAAATGTAATAGAATCACATGATGTAATATACTATGTCCTATTAAAACTGCCCAATCTGCTTGGACCGAATTTTTTTATCCATTTCTGTCCCATGTATGCTATCTGATTGGCCATGAACTTCTGATGAGTTGACAACCCATCAGAATGAAATATTTTCTTCCCTGAATCTATCTTATCTCTTATGATTGCATTTCTTTTAATGACTCAGCTTCTATCGGGGGATATAAAATGGGACCTTTTCCTAATTTTTGTATCTGAATTTCTGATTTAAAACTCCAAAAATATGTTTTAAATGCTACTTTGCTCCCTTATCTGGATGACACTATAGCATATTGGAGAACATCTTTGCTAAGGTGTTTCTTTATAATAGCAACATTAACATGGACGATACCACCTTACTTTTGTTTATTTGAGCCTCACAATGATCTTGTTGGAAAAAATACAAATCTAACCTAGAGTGGAATGCAACTCTTTGGCAACATACATGGGTAATTCTAGTGTTGGGAATTTAATTTTTCGGATCAGGGGTTATGCATCTGTCTTCTCCCTCCCTCTTTTACAAAACTCTATAATATGGTGTTCTGAGGTGTCCATAGGAGATGCTTGATATTTTTCTTTAAGTGAATGATAAATGGAATCTCTCTTTTGCATGCTTTCTCTCTCTCTCTCTTTTTTTAAAGATTTATTTATTTATTTATACAAGCAATGGGTACAGTCAGAAGCAGGGGAGGGCGAGAGAATTCACCAGACACAGAGCAGGGAGCAGAGCAGGCAGAAGGACCGAAGTACACTGCTGAGGGGAGCAGCGGGCGGCAGGAGAGGTCTGCGCGCCATGTGGGACCCTCCTCCGGTGGCCCGGGAGCATCCTGGGATATCGAACCGGCGCTACAGAGGCTGCGGGCAGCTTCGCAACACAGCGCTCAACCGCTGCGCCACCGGGGAGGCCCTGCATGCTTTCTCTTATTAGCAAAATCTGAGACTTTCAATCGAATCAAGTAACATAATGGGAATAGTGACTTTAGGAACCTTTGGAGATTTTTCAAACTCTCTAATGAGTTAAGGTTTCAAGTGATCTTGAAGTAATTAGCTCCCAGGGTTTTACCAGTAATATTCAAATTCCTCTCTCTTAAATTACTGTAAAATTATGTTTTTGATGCCTAGTATTGAGGATTGTTCTAAACTCTGAAGAAATTCTGGACCCTACATAAATAAAACTGTTGTGAGCCTTTCCACTTCTCTCATGCAAAATGCTACTAGTTTTAATAATAAAGGTATCCTGAATGAAGGAATTTTTGAAACTAAATCATACTTCAATATATTTCTAAAACTCAACAAGTAAATACAGAAGACTTCACCCCTCCCTCTAATGAATTCATAATCAATTGGGAAGACAAAACTAACATAAATGAACTCATTTATTATTCAACAAACTCAGAGTTTGCAATTTTAACTCTATCATAAGTTTAGAGGGTTTAGGTAAGACATTTGTTGGTGCTATAGCACTTCACCACCTGTATATAGCTTTTTTCTTTTTTTTCCTCCCCCATATGTTTAATCTTTAAATACTCAGCAAATACTACCACATAACAGATACTGTCCTAACTACTAGGGATACAAATGTAAATAACAGTTGCCTTCAAGGAATTTGCATTAAGGAGATAAACACCTAACAAGCCATAGTGGTTCAGTATGGTAAATACATATTTAGAGGCATATACCACATACATGGAGATGTAAGACAGAAAGAGGTCAAGTCTGTTTGGGAGGATGAAATTTCTATAGTAGAAGACATTTCATGAAGAGCTTTCTAGGTAGAGGTAGGAACACATAAAAAGGTATCCAGACATGAAATAACATGATCTATTTGAGTAAAGCAGTGAATATAACAAGAATAAAGAATAATTGTGGACAGTGGTATACTGATAAGCTGAGTCTGGGTCTCAAAAGAGGCAAAAGTGCTTTGATTGATAGCTTGACCTTTCTCCTGTACTAATATTAATGATGATCTCCACCATCATTGTTTAACCCCTCTCGTAAAACTCTGAGTAAATAGGCTGTTGACCCGATCACAAGTATTGCTTGCTCAAATGTATAAGCTTATTATTCCTGGGGATATTAAGGCACTTCCTCAAAATCTAACACATCATCAAGTTGTGAGTGTGCTATTTATTGAATAACAAAAGAAAACAGCACATTAAATGTATACATTGATTTTATGATGCATCCTAATATTAGAAACATTAAATGGAGAATTGCACTTTAGAATTGGTGTAAAATTTTATTTAGGTCCTGGACTTGGCCTATATGTAACAATCCAACCCAGAGACTTTGAGAATATCTCTGCTTACACTAAGGAAGACAACAGGAGCACAATCTGTTTAGGTAGAAGGAGTGATTTGGGGATTAAAAGTTCACAAGGGGGGCTCCCCTGGGGCGCAGCGGTTCAGCGCTGGGGTGCGAGGCTGCCGGCAGCCTCTGCAGCGCCAGTTCGATCCCTGGCCACCGGCGAGGGTCCCACAAAAAAAAAAAAAAAAAAAAAAAAAAAAGTTCACAAGGATCACAAGTTCAAAAGTTACCCTTCCTAGATTCCAAATAAGAAATCAAGATTTATGAGTCCTAAATCAAAGCACTGCCCTAAACAAAATTCTGAGTTAGGAGTATTTATGTCTTCAGCAAATCTTCCATTCTTTCTTTCTAATCTCCACCACACAAAGTGTTCCATTATCAAAATTCTGTTTATCATCTTCCTACTCTCTGTTGCTCTACTCCCGAGTTTGTAGCTATCAAGCTTCCCTTACCTTAACCTACATTTAGGCATTTTATTTTTTTAATAAAAATGATATATATTTAAGGCATACAACATGATGATTTGATATACATATGCATGTAAAATGATTCCTATACTCAAGCTAATGAACGCATCATTTCCTCACATAGTTACCATTTGTGTGTGTGTGTGGAGGTGAAATCTACCCACTTAGTGAGTCCCAGTATACAGTGGAGTCTTATTAACTATAGTCGTCATATTGAACATTAGTTTTAGAGCTAGAGCTAGGGCAGTGGTTTGTAGGTCTGTTTTGTTTTATTTGGGTTTGAACTGCCAGCTTTTTTCTTCAAACAAAATTCCATGAGATAGTCCAACATATAAAACACCTGAAAGTTCCACTACCTTGGTGAAAAGGGTACTATCATCCATGAGACACCTCCTAGGGGAAAAATTGGGGTTCCTTGAAACACAGTTTGAAAGGTACTGATCTAGCCTTTTATCCTTGTATTACAGTTCAGAAAATAAGGTCAAGCTTACAAGGTATGAAATACTCATATAAATTAATGGAAGAATAATGAGACATTTGAAGGCTTTTTCTTCCTAGTTGACAGATATATATTCTTTAAACCTCTTGAATGAAATGTCCTGTGTTATTTTATTTTACTACGTTTTATTTTCCCTTTCATCCTCTATACTTTCTATCCCTCCCACAAGGTTCCCACTATAATGGATTTGATATATATCCTGGACTATAGATCCTTGAATACATATTTATCATTGTTTGCTACTTTTTTAATTTAACAAGCACTTACTGTGCAATTATTATAGACCAGATACTTGATATACAGTGACAACAAAATAGATAATTTTCTCCTCTCAAGGAGTTCATTATCAAGAGATCAAGCAGCCCATAAGCATAGCACAAATTTTTATAGATCCATTCAATAAAGAAACTATGAGCCCAAATGGGTATAATTTATTACTTACAGACATCATAAGCGAGAACAGCTTGATGCCAGCTTCTGGTGTCCCTTTACCCGCAGGACAATATCAAATTAGAGGGGCCAGATGCGTGAGCACTGGGGTACTCTGTTGCTGAAGAGCCAACTCTCTACTGCAGCCAAGCTGTTTTGTAACCTGTATCTATACCCAAGGAGAGGGAGGTGGAAATGCCTATCCCTTATTGGAAACAAGGAGAAGCATGAGAAACTGCCTCCCACAAATAGGGAGCCTCTCATGAGGGTGAAAAACAGATAAGAAACAGATTTGACGCATCTCTTCACAAGACTATCTTCCTGTGTTCTAGGAGGAACACAGGATGTTCTGCCAAGACTTGGGGCAGACTGCAGTTCAGCCTTGCCTACGTGGCCTATGTGGATAGTGCAAGGTTGCTGGCATGCTATAAATGGAGCCATTTCCCTACATTTATAGGCTATGAATAAAAGTTTTTTATCTTGATTGTTTTCACTTAACATAAAATAATGATCATAGCAAACAATTTATATAACCTTCCTACGTGCCAGGCATTTCTCTAAGAACTTTGCAGATAGTAACTCATTAACCCCCAAACTGACCTTATAAAATAAGTGCTATTATCCCTATTTTTCAAATGAGGTTACTGAAGCACAAAGAAGTTAAGTAACTTGCTTAAGGTCACATATTTAGAATCTGGCAAAACTATAATTGAACCTAGGCATTTTGTACGTAATGGAATTTGTGCAAAGTAATATGGATGCAAAAACTGAGATGTTCGAAGAAATTTCACAGTACAGGTGACATTTGACCTGGACATTTGAAAATCAAAATAGTTTGTCAGGGGTGGAAAAGCTGTTTAAGCAGAGTGAACAGCAGAAGCAAAAGCATAGTGATATGAATGTATAATAGGTGTTTTCAGAACC